CGCGATACTCTTTCCCAACGCCACTCGCAACCCTCGAGCCCTCTCCTCCATCTCCGATCATCAACCCCGTTCACTCAGTCCGACCACTCGTCTCCGGCATCACTGCACAACTGGCGACCTTCCTAACTCCGTCATCAACCGTTCTCTCGTTCTTAGCCTCCCTAAATCGCGCTTACCAAGGTCCCGCAGCACCCAACCCTAGCTCAATTTTTTCTTTTTTTTTTTCCGGCAATATCTCTTGCCGACGTCGTTTCTCCAGCTTGTTCGTCCATCATCTCCGATGAACATCAAAATACCACTCGACGCTCCGTCTATTCCGAAAATTCCCTGCGCATTCCTTCATCTCCAAGCTCAGCGTTGCGGCCGAATTCTCGGGTAATTGGCTATTTTCTATTGTGCTTGACGATATTCGGGTTATCTGAAGTTGGTGGACGATACTTTGAAGTGATTATCAAAACTTTTGGGGCGTTCCATTCCCGATTACACTCAAGCTCTTTCCTTCAAATTGGTTCCTTCAAGGTGTTTGTTAAATTGCCCAAGTGACCTTCTTATTCAACATGGTTATCAAACGCAACAAATGAAAATCCACTCAAGGAGAATCATCTTCCCAAGCCGATCTGGTCGATCTACGGGCATAGTACAAGGCCCCCTTTACCATCCTCGACGAACGAGAGGGGGAAATCTACTCCCAGCTCGCCAAGAAGGAGGTTCTCAAGTCAAAGACGTTCGACTTCACATTGCTTTCCGACATGGGCATTTTGGCGACGGTCGAGCAGTACTTGGCCACGCTACGCTTCAAGTCTTATGCCCGCTTAGTCCACCCGACATATCGAAACCTCACGCTCGAGTTTTTCAGTACACTTGAGTTCTGGAAGGATAATAATCAGGCCGAGTATATGACATGTCGTTTGCTTGGGACAGAGAGGCTCATCACTGACGAGATCATGGAAGATGTCGTGGGCCTCCACCGCGGCAGCGCTAGGATGAATGAAGGAATGTCTACTGCTAGCTTCTGGCCCAAACTTTCTCCCGACACGTTGTGGGACTCTCAGGGCATGGCTAATGGCCTCATCAAGGACGGTGCTTTCGCTGTGATGCACAAATTCTTGTGCTATGGTGTATTCGGGAAGAAGGAAGCCAACAAGGTCACTGGGCTTGATCTCGTCCTGCTGTGGGTTATGCTT